TTCTTCTCTACAACAGCTATAGCCACCCTATTTACCTCCACCATTCAGTCTGTGACAATTGTCATATTCCATAATTTTTTACCTATTCATTTTCTAGAGCACTTTCAATTTGGTGGTCATAATACCACATGGTGTGTTTCAATCCATACTTGCCATAGAGACACCAATGCAGACACTTGATGACCATCTGTTCATATATTCTCTTCCAGCCAGACACTTGAAGATGCTCAACACATGATCCACCATCTTTTCCTTTTCAGAACAGATTCTTCCATTTGGGGAGCAGTTCTGTCAGTCAATTTTGTTTCAAACATAATTAAACTTTAAGGACTGCTCTTGTGCACTCCTAATGAGTCTCTCTCTCTCTTTTGATATATCCTTCTACAAACCATGAGTTTGTTAATCTTCAATCACAAGTAAATTCAATCTCTCTCCATCATTGTCCATGCATTGATTTTTGTGTAAATCTTTTGAATCTTTCTTTGGTGATTTGCTTTCTCCTTTCCTTTATGCTTTTTTGGGGTTGGGATGCAAGCTTGGCCATCACTTGTTATCCCAGCCATATGATCTTCTATTCAGTTGACTCTTCTTATATTTTGATGTATATTCTTCCTTCTCAATTGCTTCCTCCATAGATAGCAGACCTTTTCCTTTCATTGCTGTATGCATAGCCAGGAGCTTTCTTGTTTGGATGTCAATTTTTTTCTCCTCTTGATTCCAGTGGATCACTCCAGCAGTATACTTTACTACTGGTATCACCCAAATATGAATGTGTTGGATCAAATTCTTTGAGCTGAGTTTTGTCCTTAGAGTAGTTCTTCTTAATCTGTAATAATCTTTTCTGCCTTCTTCTTTGTTTTCCTTATGTTGCAACTCCAACAGTCCCCTGAGTCCAAGGTATTTGTAGGGCCCATGATGAGAAATACTTTAGATAGTACCTGTGAAGTTCCAAACAGTGACACAAGAACCTGAGTACCAACCTCCTGGAAGGCTGTTAAAAACCTGGGCACAAACCCCCAATTTCGTTGCAAGTTCCAAACTTAGAGTTCATCAACCAACCACACCAACTACAAACACCTCAGGCAATTTAATAGCCTTAACACTGAGTCTCAGACAGTCCCCTTGGGTAATCCAGTCTGTCTTGCCACCCAGTTGAGTGCATTTCTGTGATAGATGGTCCCTTACATGAAGAATCACAGCAATATTCAGGTTTCTCCCCATACCAAAGGACCAGTCACTTACCCCAAGTCAATTGCACTTTAGGTCTCACACCAAAGATGAAGCTTGTAGCCATTCCTATAGTGAACTATATGAAGATGTGTAAGTTAGGAAAAGGGTCTCCTCTTTCAGGAGGGGCATAACAATTTCTGTAGAAGAGCAGCTCTTCCCACTAATTAATGTCCCCCTCCTGTATGGGAATTCATACAGTCACAGAGGCTCATTATACAACCACTCAAATATTACATTACAGTATGGAACACAGATATTACAAGTAAGATTAATGCATGCAGCAACTCACAAGCATTCAACAAAGTCTAAACATTAAACACTTTCTTATAATTCTAATTCCTATTTTATCAATATTAACCCACAAGTGAGACAGACAGATTCCATCTCTGTATTTGTCAGTGTCCAGTTGAGACATGGGGAGCTTGGCATGAGCTGTCACCTGGCCTGCTGGCACCACAGTAAGCCTTTCTTAATTTGTATGCCATCTGATTGTATCAGTTTGCCCCCTTTACAGACATGTACACTGTATTTAGCCACACCAACCTCTAGCTTTATATCTTCATCAATCTTTTCTACATATCATCTGTCTTTGTGTATCTGTGACAGCCCTTGGTTGGGTTTGTTGGTATGGGAGTGCCACCTAGCTGTCATGGCTTAGACCTGCGACATGCAGGGGGTTGTTGGTAGGGGAGCACAGGCCCTCCCACTCCACTGGAATCCGACCAGGGCCCTTTGGGGGCTATCAGTGCTCTGACAGCCAGAGATGCTTAAGGCAGCCCTCCCTGGGCCACTTACTACCACCTCCCTGAGATTGTCCCAAGGTAGCCATCTGAGCTAAGGCAGCGTGAGGGTTGTCTGCTCACCCCACTTCTGGAGGCTGCATGTTGTGAGATTGTTCTCCTTTCCTCCTGTGGCATGACCCAGCCTCCCAGGGCCAGCTCAGTCCAAGAGTTTTCCCCTGCTGGGGTAGTCCAAAAAAAAAAAGGGGGGATCAATCAAGTCCAGTGTTCATATGAGAGGGAGAGGGGAATGCTTTCCACTCAGGCTTTCCCTGCAGCAGGCCTTCCCTTTCCTCAGGGAGGGATCTTTGGGCAGTTGTTTAGGGAGAGATTCTTCTGCCTTCCCTCAGCTCCCTGGAGCTGCAAGTAGCATGTCTGCTCTTCTCCCTGGTCTGCCACAAGATGAGCAGCTCCCCTGCCTTTTAACCCCTCCTCCAATTGGTACATTTCCTACAGGCAGGGCAGGGTGGCACTGGCTGAGCCCAGAGTGCTTCCTTAACCCTTCGTTGCTCATTGTGGGGTTTGTACACTTCATCACAATCTCCTTTTGTGACTGTTCATATCGTTTCAGATTATCCATGTGAAACAAATGGTTTACTGTTTGTTGCTCTTTGTTGTTATAATAACCACAATTTATCTCACCAAGTATCCATGTAAGCAGTAGCATCACTACCATAAACAGCACTGGTGATAAGGAATTCCCTTGAAAGATTCTTCTAATTTGGACCTCATCAATGACAATCTCTTCAAGGTACAGTCTAGTGTGCCAGTTAACCATAGATTGCTCCAGAAAGGAAATGACCTTTGGATTTTAAGTCTCTCAATGATCCATTAATATGAGATGTTGTCATGTGCTTTTGGGTAGTCTAGCCACACCATCTCTAAATTTTTCTTTTCCTGTTTTACATATTCTGTGATCCTCCTGTTCAGCCTGTTTTGTCCCTTTCATGTTTACTGTGCAGCATGCTTGCTCAGATTAGGAGGCAGCATTCCATTGTGAGCTAGCACTATCTATATCTTCTTTGCCAGAATTGCTGGTAGAAGTTTCAGCATAGTTGGTAAGCACATGATAGTAATATAATTATTATATTATATATAATTCATAGAATCACTACAGTCTTTTTTTTTTTTTTTTCTTTTTCTTCTTCTTCTTCTTTTTTTTTTTTTTTTTTTTGGTATGAGGATATGTATCCCTGTCACTATCCATTTTTGACATCCATTCTTCAAACATTTGTTAAATTGTTCAAGTAAACAACCATGGAAGTAAACAACCATGGAGAGTTGTTAGGTGTTTCAGCCAGAATCCATGCACTTGTGTGGTTCAGGAGCTTTCCAATTACTTCCTGGGTGTTACTCCAGGAGCAAACATTTGAAATCCAGGTATAGAGCCAATACTTATAACTTTAAATACAAAAATGATACATGCATACAGATAGCATAATCATAATCAGCAAATCATAACCTTCCTCAAACATTGTAGGGGGAATGGAAAGTGGACAAGGGACAGGAGGTAGGGTCAGGAAGGTAATCACAGAAAAAGAATGTAGGGGACTGTGACGGGGCAGAGCGGCCCCGCATTGGTATAGCAGGGGTTAACCCTTCCTTCCTCACAGAAGGAAGCCCCGCCCCAGAAGTTCTGCTGGGCATGCTCCAACTGGAGGTCAGATACAAAAGCCTGCAGCTCAGCTGAGTCTGGGCTGACTGCTGGAGGGGAAGGATGCATGCTGCTAGCTCCTGCAGAGAGGGGGCCTGTGAGCCAGGATCCGGGAGTCAGCCCTGCCGAGGCACTACCTGAGACCCTGACAGAGGATGACCCAGGGGAGGAACAGACCGGAGGACCCCTCGCTGCAGATGCACTGTCATTCCTGGTAGGAAGTGACCCAGGGGAAAAGTAGAGATAAATGGTGTTAAAGCTGTATTACCGCTTGGTGTGTTGCGGGTGGATCCCCGCCGAGTGAGTGGCAAGTAGAGCTTGCCGCTACCAGGGCCCTGGGTCGGGGCTCGGTGGAGAGGGCGGGCCTGAGTCCCCCTACGCCCTCACCCTGAACCGTGAGGGATTATATGGACTCTGGCCGCTAGGCTGTGCTACCCTGCCTGCAAAGGGGGATTATATGGACTCTGGCCACCAGGCTGTGCTACCCCGCCTGCAAAGGGGGATTATATGGACTCTGGCCGCCAGGCTGTGCTACCCCACCTGCAAAGGGGGATTATATGGACTTTGGCCGCCAGGTCACGCTACCCTACTGTGAAGGGGGATTATATGGACTCCGGCCACTAGGTCGAGCCACCCACTCGTAAGAGGGGTTATATAGACTCTGCCTGCCAGGTCGCGCTACTGCGCCTACCGAGGGAGAGAAGAGCGTATGACCGAGTGACAGTAACAGACAGCCCGAAGAGAGGCAAACACCGAGACTAGAGAGAGGCGAGGCGCTGACACCCTTCCTGCCCCAAAGGGGCACTGTGGTGCTAGCCCCACCACAGGGACCATGAAAGAAATGGGAGTGCAGTGGGTTGGGACAGATATGGGATTGGGTCATGGGAAACACCCATGGGTCAGAGAAAGCATAGAGGGGGACTGGCAAAAATGGTCTTTTCACTGTTTTAAAAACTGTAAACACTTAACATTTTCTAGATATATAATCTGAAATGTTTAATGATTTCCTTTTGAATAAAGTCTCCCTCTCCATTCATCCTCAGACCCATTCATCCTCTACTCTGTGTCATGTATAAATCCCCCCACAACATAAACTTCCTATCAACTTGCTAACATATTTAGGACAGCAGCCCTACTTCGGTGGATTTCTAAAGATGTGTCAGAGCAGGGCCCCCTCTTGTGGCTTTTATATGCTAACCCGATTTTAAATCTTTTTAGAGCAGAAAATTCCAAAATAAAAAATATGTTAAAGCAAGAGATAAGGAAGGTTGTAAGTGAATGTCAATTGAATCCAACTATCTCTCTCACACACACACACATACACACACACACACATTTTAGAAACATCTGCCATATAATCTTTCATCACCTAGTGTTATCACACCAGAAATAAATTGCAAAACTACCTGCAAAGGCCAAGAAAACAACATAATGAACGATTTTAAAATTCCATTTCCGATTCTAGGAATCTATTTCTAATAATCCTGAATACTAATTTAAGTTACATTATTTATTACAAAAATATAAAACCCACTGTAAAATATAGTTTAAATACAAATTTGCAAGTTCTATACCACAGGACACAACACCATCAAGGAATTTCACAACACCAAGTAGATCAGTCGCTCAGTTTCTATTAATTAAAATAGCCTTCTGCTGTACTAACACATGACGTCATGAAAAACCAGATAGAATTCTGATATGATTCAATATGCCCTGAGACTATACAGCTTTCAATGTGTTTTCTACAAATGCACTATACAATATATAAAGTCAACAGTATGCATCGAGATATTTCCATTACAGAATAAAGCAATGTGACAAAGTTAAGGTTGGCTATATGACATAATTCGAATAACACCAGAGACTCCTAAGGCCCCAGCTCCCAGAGTCACGTGATTAGATCAGAGTCTAGGCTTTCATTTAAAGATATGTCTAGCTCTCATGGATGGCAAGGAAAACTCTATAAAGATAAATCCAGTGCAACTGATCCCTGCGACAGCAGCTAGCCTGAAAGACGAGATCATCCCAGCAGAAGGAGGGTAGGGCCTTCCCGTGTGGGTGGGGTCACAGTGTGGGAGTGGTGTTATGGGGCCCCCATAGAGTATACCTAAGGCCTCCTTTGCCTTAATTGGGTCCTGGGTGAATGTAACAATAACAACGGGGAAATAGCTGGATGCATTAATTTATCATTTACAATTCCCTGTTAAACCGCGCTTGTGGCAAAGTTTGTTTCTTTAATGACACCAGCATACTTTGATCAAAGACAAAAATCAGTTATCCCGACTAGAATATTCAAGAATATTTCCCCAAAACAGTAGACTAATCATTTCCTTATAACGTGCATACTCAATGGACCAATAGTATATTAATACTCTCGGATACTTGTGTACTGAAGCTATCTAATATCCAAATATTTCTAAACCAAAACACAGACTACGAAACATTAAATATATACAGATCAATACTAAACTCATTTGCAAGAACCAATAGAACAAAAAGGTAGCATTCTGAATAATTGTGAAATATTTATGATGTTTTCTTTAAATATAGTTAAATATAGGCATATGTTAAATCAATAATAAGAAAATAAGAAATAAAAAATCTATAGAGAATGAGAAGTTAATTTTACCTGGTTCGCTGATTTCATGTCCGTGGTTAGATCAAAGTTAGTAAGAAGATCCTGTTCTTTTCCAGAGTCCGTTCCAGCATTGCCATGCTGAGGTGGGAGAGAGGGGATAATTGGTCTGAGGAATCTGAATTCACTGTTTCCTGATCCAGTTGTTAAACAGACTTCATAACGATAACTGTGAGACAGAGTTCCGTTACCCGTTATATCTACCAAATTATTTTGGAAGTTGCTATTACCACAACAATTGCCAGAAGCAGACATGTATTTTTCTCCATAATTCCTTCTTCTATAAAGCTTGATAATTATAAATATTATCACTGAAATAAAAAAGACAAACGATACTAAACACAAGGAAATTATTAAGTACATCGTTAATGTGTCATTCTCTTCCTCTTCCACAGCTACATCTGTAAACTGCATGTATGCATCCGAAAAGCCATCCACTAGAGCTATGTTTAGAGTTGCAGATGAAGAAAGGGGTGATTCTCCGCTGTCCCTAACAAGCACAATGAGTTTTTGCTTCACCGTATCTCGGTCTGTTATTAGCCTCGTGGTTCTTATTTCACCATTTTGGGAAGCGATAGTAAATAGACCTGGGTCAGTGGCCTTCAACAAATGATAGGAAAGCCAAGAATTCTGACCGGAATCTCCATCCACAGCCACCACCTTCGTCACCAGGTAACCCGCCTTCGCCGATCTGGGAACCAGGTCAGTAGCGGGGGAGCTGCTGTTCTGCAGAGGGTATAAAATGAAGGGGGCGTTGTCATTTTCATCAATTATCACAACTCGGACAATGACTTCAGAGCTCAGTGGAGGGGACCCGCCATCTGCTGCTCTCACTGTGACCTGGAACTCTTTTATCTGTTCATAATCCATAGATCGCAGAGCGTACATATTCCCATTTTCCGAGTTTATGGAGATATAAAAGAGAAGCGAAAAGCCACCTACCTCAGAAGGCAATAGAGAGTATGTCACTTTGGCATTCTGCTCTGAATCTGAATCAAAAGCATTGACCTTCCCTATCAAGACGGCTGGGCCGTTGTTTTCTCGGACATACATAGTGTATGATGTTTGACTGAACTCTGGGGAATTGTCATTAATGTCGGATATTTTCACGACGATTCTCTCCTCAGTGGAGAGACTGGGAGTTCCCAAATCCCTGGCTGTGATGGTGATGTTATACTCCGATACTTTCTCTCTGTCAAGCACATATTCAGTCACTAGAGAGTAGGAATTTTTGAAAGTTGTTTTTAAAGAAAATGGAACATCATCTTCTATGGAGCAGACTGTTCTCCCATTGTTCCCAGAGTCCCTGTCTCTGACACTGAAAAGCGCCACCACTGTTACAGGCGAGGAGTCCTCAGGTATGGGGCTGGTGAGGGACGTTACTTTAACTTCCGGGGGATTGTCATTCACATCCAGCACCTCCACAAGCACTTTAGAGTGGGAAAACAGCCCCCCGTCATCTGTGGCCTGAACATCTAGCTCATATGTTTCAATAGTTTCAAAATCCAATTGGCCTGTGAGTCGAAGTTCCCCTGTCACTGGGTTTATATTAAAAGTTTTACTGTTTTCTTTGGATTTCTGGCTGAAAGAATAGGATATTTCCCCATAATTTCCCTCGTCTAAATCAGTAGCAGAAACAGTGACAACCAGATAATCTTTGGGGCTGTTTTCCAGAACTCGACTTTTGTAAGTGGTCTGAGAGAACACAGGAGGATTGTCGTTGGCATCGAGGACAATGACATGGATTTGTGCTGTGCCGGACTTCGGGGGAGAGCCGCCATCCACGGCTGTGAGCACTAGACTCACCTCTGGCTGCTCCTCGCGGTCCAGTGGTTTATCCAGCACTAGCTCTGCGAATTTCCTGCCGTCACTCCGAACCCGCGTATAAATATGGAAGTAGTCATTATTGCTAATGCTGTAGTTCTGGAGGCTGTTGTTTCCCACATCTAGATCCTGGGCATTTTCCAAGGGAAACCGAGAGCCAGGGTCAGACGTTTCCAGGATTTTTAAAATAAATTCCTTTTCTGAGAACACTGGAGAATAATCATTTATATCATAAACTCTTATCTCAGCGGGATAGGCTTGTAAGGGATTTTGCAGGATTATTTCAAATTGCACCATACAGGGGTCCGCTTCCCCGCATAGTTCCTCTCTGTCCACTTTCTCTTTAATAAACAAGTCCCCAGTGTTGCTGTTTAGCTGGAAATGCTGGCGGCTGCCTTCGGAAACCACACGGGCACTGCGAGCAGACAGTCTCTTCGGGTCTAGCCCTAGATCCTTTGCTACATTAGCCACAAAGGACCCGCTTTCCATTTCCTCAGGCATAGAATAGCGAACCGTCTCGCATCTGAGGGCCCACATGCAAAGAAATAGAACGAGAGAAGCGACTTGCCTTTTGATTGTTGTTCTCCTCTTCTTATCCGCCATTCTTAATAGGAAAGAACACACAGACATCGATCGAGAAATAATGACACTAGTGGAAATTCATTGCAGAATTCTGATTTCCGAAAGATTTACTTTAGTCTGTATATTTCCTTTCTACGGATTCAGTTAATCCAATGCCTTTATAATTTTGTTTTTCTCTGCGATACCAGACAAATCACCCGTGTCTCAGCTCCTGCATTCTGGTCCTGTTACGGTCTAGCCTTGTGACGCCGGAATCGCCTGTTGTAATCTTTCCCCTTCTTAGCCAACAGCGCCACTATGCGTCTAAACGCGGTCTTCCTCGCCGTAAAACCGGTTAGAAAATCTGTTCTATGGCTGTTCTATCTCCTTTACAGAACGGCTATTATATTGCTTTCCATTTAGATATCCTGAATTAATAAACTTTTTTTATAAAACGTAAATCTATTTAGGTAACATACTAATACGGAAAGCAAGAACAGACATACTGAATATTTAATGTGTATTTTAGTCTATTTTTTTCAAATAGTACCTAATCCGAAAACTCAGAGGTGCAAGGTAGCCAAAGTTCACCTCGATATTAATGTGAGTTGAGGCTGCCCAGAATATCTAAAGGTCTGGTGACTGTTTCTTCGACTGTAAAATCTGTGGGGGAGAGGTTATCTTGTACTCCATATAGCACAGTTGTCGGCATTAAACAAACAGTAAAATAAAATAGTCTCTATAGTATGCCTGGCAAATTGCTTTCTGAGCCAATTTGTCCTACCCCGTGTTGTTAGTGCTGTGGAGTATTGTTGCTGCTGTCTGTGTTGCTGTTTTTGGAGCTCTGATGTCAGCTAAAACTTAACCTCCTTAAAAATATGGATGACAGCAAGCTGGGAGGGATTGCAAGCACTTTGAAGGACAGGATTAGAATTCTAACGGACCTTGAAAAATTGGAGAATTGGTCTGAAATCAACTAAATTAAATTAAATAAAGACAAATGCAAAGTACCTCCCTTTAAGAAGGAAAAATCAAATGCACCTCTCAGGGCGACTTTTTGGACAGGTGAGGAACAAATCACAAAATAGTTATTTCTACTCCTGCACAATGTATAATTTAATAGCTGTTAAAAATTTACCTTATTTTTAGTAAAGAAGAAGCAGCAGTCAGACCTTGGAGCTGGAGCCACCACCGCCGCCACTGCTACCTGGGTCGGGGCTGGTGGCCTCGCATCAGGCAGGCTTGGGGCTGGGCAGCTGCTCATGCACAACAAGCATGGGGCCTGCCTTACGGGGGAGAAGGCTGGGGAGGCACAGGCTACATGCCCCATTCCCACCCCCTGCAACCTCCGTGTACCTTGGGTTTAATTGCTACAATCCTGCCATGGCCTCACCAAGCAGTGGTTACCACATCAAGGCCCTTACATAAGTAGGGATGTAAAATGCCATGTTAACAAGGCAACTTCTTGAGGCACTGTTAGCTATACCAAAAGCCTCGTTCTGCATTACATTCTTCAAACTTGCTGGCACTGCACTTTTCTTCTGGAGAGAGTGAGTTGTTACATTTAAATAAAATCACAAATGATCCTTAAATCTGTATATATTTATCAATACAAATTATATAAAATGTATTTTGAAGCTTTTGTCAATTCTTGGTTAGGCTGCAGCTCATTTCCCTGGACTGGGGCGTCATCCCTGGCCCAACTGCAAAATGAGAATAACTGGCTAGATGGTAATACTGCTGAAAAGGATTTGGGGGTTATAGTGGATCACAAATTGAATACGAGCCAACAATGTGATGCCCTTCTGACAAAAAACCTAATATCATTATGGGGTGTGTTAGCGGAAGTGTTGTATCTAAGGCATGGGAGGTAACTGTCCTGCTCTGCTTGGTACTGGTGAGATCTCAGCTGGAGTATTGCATCCAATTCTGGGCCTCACACTTTAAGAAAGATGTGGACAAGTCGGAGAGAGTCCAGAGGAGAGAAACAAATATGATCAAAGGTTTAGAAAACCTGACCTATGAGGAAAGGTTAAAGAAATTGGGCATGTTGAGAAAAGAAGACTGAGGTGGGACCTGATAACAGTCTTCAAATATGTTATTGGCTCTTATAAGGAGGACTGTGATCTATTGTTCTCCATATCCACTGAAGAGAGGACAAGAGGTAGTGGACTTAATTTGTAGCAAGGGAGATTAAGTTTAGACATTAGGAAAAACTTTCTAACTACAAGGGTAGTTATGCTCTTGAATAGGCTTCCAAGGGAGGATGTAGAATGCTGACATTGGAGATTTTTAAGAACAGGTTGGACCAGGGGTAGGCAACCTATGGCACGTGTGCTGAAGGCGGCACACGAGCTGATTTTCAGTGGCACTCACACTGCCCGGGTCCTGGCCACCGGTCCGGGGGGGCTCTGCATTTTAATTTAATTTTAAATGAAGCTTCTTAAACATTTTAAAAACCTTATTTACTTTACATACAACAATAGTTTAGTTATATATTATAGACTTATAGAAAGAGACCTTCTAAAAACATTAAAATGTTTTACTGGCACGCGAAACCTTACATTAGAGTGAATAAATGATGACTCGGCACACCACTTCTAAAAGGTTGCCGACCCCTGGGTTGGACAAACACTCATCAGGTTTACTTGGTCCTGCCACAGTGCAGGGAGCTGGACTTCATGATTTCTCAGGGTCCCTTCTAGCCCTATATGTCTATGATTCTAGTATGAAATTTCACAAAGGGAGACTCACAATTATTATTAACACTTTGAACCTTTCTGAGTAGCATCACTTGACATGATTTTAATAAATGAGTTTCTGAAGTTATAGTAATCATTTTATTGTCTCCCACTTCCTAAATGTGTCACCATGGGCTACTATAAAGACCAGAACAAATGCTTTAATTAAAAGGACCTTTGTTTTTGTTGCCTAAATTTTTTCCCCGTCATACATTTATCAGATTACAGCATTATTATTAGAACGTCTAATATATTCAGTGAAAACAATGTGATACTCTGTCACCACTGAAGAAGCATTGTCCACTTTCTTGTGTGAATGACGCAATGCTGCTGAGCAATGACATCCACATGTGCTGTGGGTCCTCAACAAAGCCTCCACCCACGGAAGCCCACGGAAGGAATGGTTGAGTGAAGTCAGGATAGCAGGATCAGGTCAATGCACTATGGTCATTCTATTGAATCTGGTGCCTAATAGAGTTCCACTCCATATTCCTATAGATAAACTACAGGTATGTGGGCCATCGGGAGTCAGACTCGCTTTAAATAATCAAATACACAAGAGAAGTATTTATAACTCACTATCGGGCTAGGAGTAGGTCTTGAGTGAGCTGCATATAGTGCATTCTGGTTAAGATAATATTCAAGAAAGAGATGGAGGAAAAAGTGAAGAATAAATAAAAAAATAAAAAAATGTGTGAATAATATATAACTAAGCATAATCCTATCTACTTTGGAGCACACGGTACAACTTCATAAACTGGCGAATAATCAATAATTGGGTATTAAACAAAAATAAATGTAACGTGGTTATGGTAAGAAGAACAATCGAATTAGAGTATTAAATGGGATGAGTTTAGCCATCGTAGCTAAAACTATCTGGTTAGAATAGGAATTAACTTGAGTCTCAGTCTTTATAATGTCAACACACATAGAGCAAGTGCCATACTGTTAGATTTTCATCTGTAAGGGTTTTCAGCCCTGCTTAGACTTCAGATATCCATTTTTGGTCATTGTGGGTTTTTTTGATTTTTGTTTTGTTTTTTTAAAACATCAATTGGAGCGTTCAAGAGAGAGCAGAAAATGAACACAGGTTGGAAAATCAGCCCCAACAAGAGAGGTCCAGAGCAAAGAGAAAATAAAAGACAGGGAAGTAGTGGTAACTATGTGTAATTCCCTAAAAATATGACATAGAAGCATCCGCATAATTAAGCAGCAAACAGCGAGCTAGAAGTAGTGATATTATTAACTTGAAGCAAAGAAAATATAGATTTTATTGAGTTTAGGGAACAGAACATGCAGTCACAATCCACTCCAGTTAATTCACTTCAAATCGCTTAATCTTATTCCTGATATGTGCTAATTTAACACAGAGACGTTTAATTTGAGTGAATAATGATGTAAACAACTACAAAGTTTAACCAAGAGATGAACACACACACAAGATATGACTGTTGGGATTATATGCCATCATTTCAGTGCTAAAAATTCTAGTGGTCAGTGACCATGATATTAGCCAGAGATATCTGGCGGGTAAGTCTCCCTCAGGGTTTGGTGAACCATGTTAAAAGTGAATAATTGTGAGGGCCACAGCTAAACCTGGAAAGGGTCATACCTCTGGTGTGAATATAGACACGTTAGGGGTATGACCCATATCGAAGAACATATGTTAAAGGTCAGATTTGTTTTTAAACGAAATAATATGAAGAAATTTGAAAGAGTTTCCAAAGGTGGTTGTGAGCTCAACCGTCAATGGAGAAATTAAAGGCGAGGGTAACGGTCTGCAAAGTCAGTGCTTAAAGTTAGGCACCTTAGAGGCGTGGTCTAACTTTCCAAGTTACAGCGTTCTTTCAACTCCCATTGAAGAAAATGGAAGTCCAGAAAAAAAGCCTACTTTTATTCGGGTGCCTGAATATGCGTTTGCTTGCCTGTGTTTAGGCCCCCAGCTGGAAAATTTTGATTCAGACATATATGATACATTCTATATCTGGGGTACTTTAGGAACAGTGTTGTTCCATGACTTCCACAATGCCGGTGGATAAGCTAAGCAATGGCACTTCAAGTCTGTCCAGCTAATAGCGATCCCTACATTCCAGTCCTAAAGGAAATCAGTCGGGAATTTGCCTCAACTTTTTCTACATGAAAAGATTTTATACGTATGTTGCATTACATGTTGATTCATGGACCTAAGTGGCCTCATGAACCTTATCAAGCAGAGTTCAAAGTGGGATAATTTTATCGAGACTTCAGTGGAGCTGAGAGAGTTACATGTTCTTCATCCCACACAATACTACAGTTTCGCAACAAAGGCTAAAATTTTCAAAAGTGACTAAGTGATTTAGAACGAAGTCCCATTTTCAAAAGTGATTTAGGAATTTCTGTCGCTCTCGAAAATTTAACCAAAAATCACTAATCTAAAATAATATCTGTACACACAGGGACATCGCTATCATCAATCATCATCATCATCATCAATGGATTTCTA